GTGCTGATTGGGAACGCCGGGAGGGACATTATGACCGCCGAGGTGCTGAATTTGAAGGAAGGAAAGGGGAATTCGAAGGGGGACTGGGTTATGACAGAGCAAGGGAAGACCGGGAGACATGGGTAGGGCCAAGCACTTGGGAAAGGGAGAGCCATGGAGGAATAAGGGGAAATAGGGGACATCAGAAGGTGAGGAAGCAGAAGATGTCCATATTCGAAGGGGAGGATGCATAGGGGTGGCTTTATAAGGAGGAAAGGTACTTCGTTGTTAATGGGCTAATGGAGGAGGAGAAGCTGACAGCGAAAGGCTTATGTTTGGAGAGAAAAGCGCTACCATGGTACCAATGGAGAGACCAAAGGAGACCCATCAGAAGATGGGGAGAATTCAAAGACTGCATAATAGAACATTACCAAACCAACCGAAGAGGAGATTTCTATAAGCAGTTCTTTACTCTAGTGCAGGAGGGATCAGTAGAAAACTACCGTGAGCGGTTTGAGCACCTGGACAATAGGGTGAAGCGATTATTGGATATTGTATTGGAGGGGGACTTCATGAAGGGGTCGAATGCAGAGATCCGAGTTATTAAGTTCTGATGCCTCGTGACTTGGGAGTGACAATGAGGTTGGTATAACTAGTTGAAAATCAAAGGAATCTAGAGAGGGGAGCCAGGAGCAGTAGCACAGGAGGCACTTACAGGATGAAGACCACCGATTTAGCACCTAAGGATCCTGCAATAGGAGGAATCTGGGAGACCATCAGGGAGAAGACAGTAGGAGGGAGCGGGGGAAAATTCAAAAGGCTGACAGAGAAGGATATGCAGGAGAAGAAGCAAAGGGATTGTGTTTCAGGTGTGATGAGAAGTATACTACAGAGCATAGGTGCAATGACCGAACTCTTAAGGTTTTCACCGTCTGTGATGACGAGGAAACTGAGGGAGGTGAGGGATTAGAGGAGATGGAGGAGAAGCTGCATTTAGATTTGGCTGAGGTTTCCGGTAGGATTCATGGAATCATACCATGAAAATGAAGGGGGAGATAGGGACAGGAAGGTGGTGGTGTTGATTGATAGTGGAGCTACCCACAATTTTATTTTCACTCAGGTCGTCGACCAATTGGGAGTGAAATTGGTGGATACCTGGTGTTATGGGGTGATGATGGGTATGGGGAATATGGAGAAATGTCATGAGATCTGTAGAGTGCTACTGACTACTATCCAGGGGATTTAGGTGAGGGAAGATTTTCTTCCATTGGAGATAGGGAGTACAGATATCATCCTGTGGATGAAGTGGCTGTAGACCTTACGAGATACCAAGGTTAATTGGGGACCACTCATGATGGAGCTGATGGTGGATGGGAGGAAGGTGGTGATAAGAGGAGATCAGGGCTATCCAAATCCATGGTTTCTCTCAAGATTATGGTGATGAATATATAAGTGGTGGGTGAAGAAATTTTGGTGGAGCTACACAGTCTGGAGAGAGTTAGAGTGGAGGGAGGGGACATACACCTCTCCATACAGCCGTTGATTCAACAATTCCAGGAGGTGTTTCGTCTATCTCAGGGATTGCCACCACCAAGGAAGCAGGAGCACGCCATCGTAATGAGGGAAGGTGTGTCACCCATCAATGTCAGGCCCTACTGATATCCTCAATTTCAGAAGGCTGAGATTGAAAAACTGATCTGTGAGATGCTGGAGGCAGGGATCATCAGGCCGAGTGTGAGTCCTTTCTCTAGTCTAGTCCTATTGGTCAAGAAGAAGAATGGGAGCTGGCGATTTTGTGTGGACAATAGAGCTTTAAACAAGGAGATAGTGCTAGATAAATTTCTAATTCCTGTGATTGATGAGCTCTTGGATAAATTGAATGGGGAACTGATGTTCTCCAAACTTGATTTGAAGTCTGGGTAGTATCATATCATAATGAGGGAGGCAGACATCACCAAGATAGCTTTTAGGATACATGAGGGGCATTATGAGTTTCTGGTTATGTCATTTGGGCTTACCAACGTCCCTAATACTTTTTAGTCACTGATGAACATGGTGTTCAGACAGTTACTTCGGAAGTTTGTTTTTGTGTTTTTAATGACATACTGGTGTACATCAAAATTGAGGAGCATAGGGAAGATGGTCTTGGGAGTTCTGTAGGAACATCAGTTGAGGGCCAACCTGAAAAAGTGTTGTTTTACCCAGACTAGTGTGGAGTATTTGAGACATTGTATCCAAAGAAGAGGTGGCAACGGATCAATCAAAGATTGAGACTATGTTGAGGTGGCCCTTACCTAAGAATCTGAAGGAGTTGAGGGGATTCTTAGGACTGATGGGGTACTATAAGAGGTTTGTGAAAGGATACAAAACTATAGCATGGTCACTGACATAGCAACTGAACAAAGATGAGTTCTTATGGGGAGAGGCGGCTACAACAACATTTGAGAGATTAAAGAAAGCTATGACAACTGTACCAGTTTTAGCTCTACTAGACTTCACTCAGGCTTTCATATTAGAGACGGATACTTCTAGATACGGATTAAGGGCAGTACTCATGCAGAATCGCCAACCCATTGCCTACTTCAATTAGGTGTTGACAACCAGAGCCATGCTCAAATCAATCTATGAGAGGAAATTGATGGCCATCGTCTTAATCATCCAAAAATGGCGACCCTACCTATTAGGAAGGCACTTCATTGTCAGAACCGATCAAAAGAGCTTGAACTACTTGTTGGAGCAGCGGATAGTGACTAAGGAACATCAGATGTGGCTGTCCAAATTGTTGGGATATGATTTTGAAATCCAATACAGGTTAGGAGTGGAGAACAAAGCAGCAGATGCCTTGTCCAAGTGTATGGGAGAGCTGCAAACAGTGACAGTATCGATTCCTTTGATGCAAGATTAAGAGGCCATCAGGGAGGAGAGCGTCAGGAATGAGGAGTTGAGAAAGATCAGGGTCGACTTACTGAGGGAAGGGAGTAGCCACCCGAGGTACTCTTTGGAGGGGAAGAAGCTACTGTACCAGGGAAGGTTTGTGATGCCCAGGACATCTGTTCACATTCCACATTTGCTTCAGTAGTTCCATGTGAGTGCAATTAGGGGTCACTCAAGGGTACAAAAGACCTACAAGAGGCTAGCCTCGGAGTTGTACTGGAAGAAAATGCATAAAGATGTGGAAGAGATGGTGTTCCGATGAGAGGTAAGTTAGAGGAACAAGTATTTGGACCGGCCCAACCCCAACAGGCCTCTTTGAAGAGGTCGGTTCTTTGCTACAGGAGGGGCGGCGGCATAAGGAGAGAGGAAGGAGTGGGGCCCAGCAAGGATTCAAATTCAAAGGAATTGGAGGCAAAGGAAGAGCGGCAAGGACAAGGGAGTAATTTGGCTTTAAATAAGTAATTGTATGCTTTAAGTATGGGAGGAGGGATTAGGGTTAGGGTTATACATGATTTGGAGTTGTTCTTTTGGAGTCTTGTTAGTGTCTTGGGCTCTAAATCCACAATCTAGAGGGGAGAGACGATCCTCTGAAATTGAGGATCAATTGTATCTTGTTTGGAGTTTGCTTTGCTTTGATTCTACTATTACAATTTTTCATTTTTAGACTGATTTCTTCCAGGTTTTCTTGTTTTTCTCGTTGTTTTGGCCTATTATTGCTAGGGTTGCTTGCGAACTCAAGTATTTCCTCTTGGATTAATTGTGAACTCAAGTATTTCCTATCAGAGGTTTGAGGCCATTACATAGATTGAGAATATTTAATTTTATGATGAATCTTCCAATCACCATCGCTTGAATAGTTTGAATTAGAAAAAAATAACATGTTCTATATATAACTACATCAATGTACATGTTATAATTTAAGGAAAAAAAAAGTCCCAAGATCCCTTGAATATTTTTGTCCAGAAAATTTTGCCACAGCGTATTGCATTTCTCTAATGTAGTCCCTCGACTTTAGGGGTGGTTTGTTTAAATTAAAAAAAGGAATGTAGTATAAAGAGAATATTTTGGTATTGTATAGTTTGTAAAATAAATGTAGGTGAATGCGTTTTTTTTGTTTGAAGTAAAATTAATGTAGTATAGAGTTCAAAAATGATGGCAACAGTGGCAACAATGGACGTGGTGGTCGACTAGTTTTGGTGTTATTGTTGCTTTTGTTGGGGGTGGGGGGCTAGCAATGAGTAGCAACAGTGAACGGTGACAAGTGGGGGAAAATGGAGGTGGTGGCAAGTGGAGACAAAGAGCTTGCTTTCGGCAAAAACGATTTTTGCTCAAAACTACGGGAGTTTATTTTGGCTCGAAAACGACTAAAACGCTTTATAATGTATTCCTTTTACTTTGCATTCATTTTTCATCCAATCAAATATTAATATCTTGAATACACATGTAAAAAGATTACTTTACGCCCACTTTACTTCAAACCAAGCAGTCCCTTAAAATTTTTGATCACAAATTGTCCCTCCATTTGAAATTGACGAAAATTGAGATGCAGAATTGATATCTATTCAGTCCTTCGACTATAAAAATTAATCCTAATTGAGCTATTGAGAGGCCATTTGGGATCAATTTTGTATAAATTGAAGAAATGTGATGCTCTGAGACTAAATTTACCATATATAATTAATCAGGGGACTATTCCTGACTTTTTCCCTTTAAGAAAATGATTGTCTCATCATTATCAATGCTAACAACAAAATAAACATTTTTGACCAAAGATATTTAAAATTCTTAACAAATTAGAACATGTTTAGGCATGAAATAAGAATTTTTATAAATTGAGGCTCTCAACTGTTTTCAATTGAATGTTATGATTAAACCTCTACGAGATGATGTCAACATAAGCGAAGTGCACAACTTGGGCTTTGACTTTTGTTTCAGCATAATGAAGTATTAAATCACAAGGAATAATGCATATAGAAGTGCTGAATGAACGTCAAATTGTTATACATGTATAGCTTTGAACTTGTTTCGTTTAGTTCAATTATATTTTGTAACAAATTCTGAATTCAGTTTAATTCTCTAATACTTGCCTCTTTTCTACATGACAAATCCTCACTTTCATGTGACTCTTCAGCAAATTTCTCATCAGCTAACTTCTTCAATAAATTTTGCAAATCATTTTGTTGAAGAACAGACTCCTCCAGCTGCTTAATGTGAATAACATCCTTGCCACCCATCTTTACCCCAAAAATAATGTGAGTTCCATATTTATCAATAAACCTACAAACCATGACAAAATAACAAATATTTTTGAATTAGTAAATGTATCGTGATTCAAGCAAATGAGTAGTGTATCAATGCTACAAAGACTGCAATTGAAGGCAGATAAATTATGATGCATAGAGTTTGTAACAGGGGACAAAAAGGTCCCACTACGTACTTTCCTCCTAGAATTCATAGATCGTCCATTTGGTTATTTAGATCTTTCTAATGTTTCCTTGCCATTCAGGAACACAACCCCCCCCCCCCTCCTTTTCTGGAGGGGACCTTAACTAGATTATTTGGTACTTGCTACAAGCACTTTGGTGGCCTCACATTGACAGCAAAACAACAATATTTTGTTTTTTTTCTTCATGAAACGTATACATGTATGGAAAGTTATAGTTTGTCTTATGCTTCCCTCACTTTTATTTTATTTTGCTAAGGGAGGTATCTTTTTAGAAGCTCCATACCAAATTGTACTCATTGTATACTTTTTGCCTTTAATTTAAAGTAATGCAAATGCAACTTAAGAAAAAAAAAAGAAGAAATCGTGTCATGGGAACAAAAAAGGTGAAAGAAATATAGAATTAATATAAATACAAACTGATTACATAAGCCTATCAGTTTTTATATCTATATACTAACTAAAATATTTTTCTGTATGTTAAGACAATGGAACATTTGCAGGGTATAAAGAAAAGCATCAACATGATATCACCAATTTCTCCATGAACGTGACAGATCAAACATTATCATGATCATCCAATGAAAAAAAAAATCCAGTGCTATTGAGGTCTCACTTTCAAACTATCTGTTGGGTATCCCCAACCACCTCAAACAATAGCTGAGGGTAACTCTATTCACTATTTCCACCAAAATTTTTGGAACATTTTCATCCATCATAATTTGTCCACATATATGGAAAACGGTTAATTCTAAAGGCTGGCATTTCCTTCTCGCAGAATCAGGGTAGCAATTGAATTCAAATTGCTACAAGTGTCTTCAAGCATCACCGAGTGACCCCCTTTCCTATATTTGCAAGGGCCAGGCCCTCTCCTCCTTGCCAATTGCAGCAATCATGTGTTCCTTTTGGTGCCTCTAGCTATTATTGCTCCAGCTATTGCCGCCCATGGGCGGAAACCCATCGGTGTTCTTTTTTTTTTCTTTCTTCAAGCATCGATATATTCCATCTTTACCTTGGCCTAAATATCACATGTAATTTACTTGGTTTCCTTACTGTTTTGGATGTCAAAGTGTGTAAATACCCAATAATTCAGCAAGAAATGAAAAAGAAAAATTCTTCTCTCAAAATTTATATTTTGTTCAATAATTAGTATTTGCCATGTGCCAAACTCTAGTGAAATAAAGCCTGAAGTTTGGTTTCATCTGATATGCAACCAAGCATGAACAGCATAGCCTTGATATCAAATGAACTTGAGCTGGTTCAAAATCTAAACACTTCAAGTTAATACATATACACATTAGGTGTAGATTAAAAAACATGAGCTCCCGTGCTGCAAAGCATTACATGAAGTAATAACCAACATCAGGCTTACTACACAATATTTTATATGCTTCATTAGATTTCTTCTAATAATTAAAAACATTTCATAAAACTTAACCTTTTGAAAGGTGTTGCTTGTCTATAAAGTATATATTCATGTCATAAGCTTTAAGAATATGCCCTCCAACGATTTAGCATTATAGATAATAAACCAAATATGCAAACATAATAAACATATATAAACATGTTCATACGAGTATATTTTGAATATGAACACGTACAAGCTACAATTAGATTTTTTTTAATTAAAACTTCATGTACTAAACTATAATCGCATTACAAAATTAAGTTTCATTTTACAACATGCATCTTTTGCAAATAAATTATTTTTTTATGAAATTGAACTCAATTTTTATCAAACTTGATTTTGGATTGAGATTCGTGGCCGATTAAGATAATTTTTGATGACGTATCAATTATTATTATATATATACTTGTGACGAGTCAAAATGGGTTAATCGGAATCATTGAAATCGAATTCAATTTGAGTTAATTTGATTTGATTTTGATTTGATTGGTGAGTTGATTTTGAGCTTAATGATGCATCAATTTGATCGAAAATAAATTAGATTGAGTCGATCGACATCAACGAATCATAAATCGAGCCTGATTTGAGTTGAGTGATAGGTTCGAGTCGATGCTACGTCAATAGGTATCCACCTAAGGGAAATCCTACGGGTGACGTCTATTCTAGGCTACGAAGACCTAGGTGCTAGAATTGAGTCCGGGGAAATTGACCTCGAATAATGAGGTCAACACCATTAATAGGTCATAATCACTTTTTTAAGAGGAATTAAGGCCTATTTAATTCCCTAATCAATGCCTATTGCTTGGAATTCAAAAACCATGGCCAAGGGAGCTTATTTTTCCTCCCAATTTGGTGTGGATTAGATCTAGGCCGTCCGCGTTAGGGCTGGGATCTTTAAATATCAAAGATTAAGTCCTTTTGAAGACCTTTTTTTGATTACTCTCGCCCTAGTCTCCCAGATCTCCTGAACTTTCATTTGAGAGTTTCTGGGACTTCCCCTCACCCTTTCCGATCAAACCCAACGGTCAGGACCCCCGCCGACGGCGAGTTCCGGCGAGACCGAGCGTGCAACCTCTCCAGGATGAATTTTGCTTGATCAAGGCCTTTTCAGAGCTCGATCTCAAGAGGATGATTGTTCGTGAGGTTTCCTCGAGTCCAACGAGCCCAAGATCTCCTAAATCCACCATGTGGATTGAGGTATATCGCAAACCCTAGTTAGAAACACTTAGGGTTAATTAGCATCATCATTAGTGCGTATTAATTCAAAATAAAATACCCCCATGAATGCTCTTCACTGTTAGATCCTACATCTAAAATTTTGTTTGATTTCATTCGCTCAATTGAGAGAAATTGACCAAAAATGGAACTAGGGTATCGGTCCGTCAAGCTGTGTACTCAGAGCGCTTTGGACCATTGATCTCACGATCAACGGGTCTGGTCTAGTCAAATGGCGGCTCCGTCCGACCGTACGAACGATCCCGCGGATTGCTTGATGGCACGGCTCGATCTAAGCCGTCCGCTGCTTAGGACGGGTGATCCGACGGCGTGCGGTGCAAGCCGACGTGGCTGAGTCGCCGTCCGCTGTTTGATTGCCGCAATCATTGCGGCAATCATTTTTGGCAGCGCAATCATCGCGCCGCCAGGCAATGATTGGCCGCGGTTATTGGGACGAACCAGAGGCCGCCATTTGTCACGCCCGGAGCCGCCGCCGCCCTCTTATATTATTTAAAGTATTTTTAAATATATTTTAAGCTATTTTTACTCAAAACAATTGCCAAAAATTCATTTTTGCTCCGTTTTCGACGCACAATATCTTGTTTTGTTCGTATTTGAACTCTGCACAATTTAAATTATTTTTATTTAAAAATATTTGTTATATTTGTATTTATTTTTAAAAACAGCAAAGAAATACTATTTAAAAATATTATTTTAAGTATTTTTATTGTTATTATATTATTATCATTATTTATTTAAATGTAATATTAATAATAACTGTTATTTTTATATACATATATATTTATTGCTATTTTAAGTTTCAGATTATTATTATTGTTATTTTAACTACTATATTAGTAATTACAATTATTTTAACTTTGTTACTATTACTCTTAATATCATTATTTTAAATTTTTTTTGTTATTATGTTAGTATTATAATTATTATTATTGTTGCATCAAATAAATATTAAATTTCAGGGACTTTATACCCTATTTTCATCCTTATTCAATGATTATTTAATTTTAAACTTTTTTAAATGGCTACTAAAAATTTATAGTGGCCTGCTGATAGGGTAATTCATTGGACAGTAACAAGAGTGTATGAATTTGATACTTTTTTTAATTTTGACTGTACAAGTTGTAGCCATTTCAAAGTAGTTGAGCACTGTAAAACATATTGCATAATTAAAAACTAAATTATCTTTGTAATTAAAGGATCAAAAGTTAATTGAAAATAATAATGTGTAAGTGATTAAAAATATTAATTTGATTGGAAATTAAAATAATCCAAACTTCAATACACATAATTCAGGTTAGATGAATAAACAAATTTTAATTGAACAAATAATGTTGCTATGAATAGTTAATGGAATTCTAGATAATCAATGAGTAAATTGGAAATATCCTCATCAACCTGCTATTAACTTTTGACTTACATATAATCAAAGATTTAATCAAAGCAATTAGTTTGGAAGTAGAAAATAACTATTGAAAGATGTAATGATGCGATTAGGAATTCAATTGTAAAATCAAGGTGCTTTTATTAAAAATTTAGAAAACCAATTATGTGAGCTTTCAATTTCAATCATTAGTTGACGTTTTGGATCATTACCAAGAAATAATGAAGTTAACCCAAAGGAAAAAGGAAATATATATATATATATATATATAGTGATAACCATTTGAGGATTGGTAGAAAGAACCCCCAGCCAAATTAATAAATTTAGGCAAATCTGACTTAAGACTATAAACTTAGCGTTGTATGGGAGGTAACCCAGCTTTTAATTTGTTTTGTGCATAGCAGATTAGATTTAGAAGTGATAGTCATTAGGTAAAAAAAAATATTTTGGACAGAAAATGACACCATAACGTTGCTTATAGAAACACTGAGTATAGTCGTGCCACGACGATTTAAAATTCAAATTTTGGAGCTTCTATGCCTATGAAATTTATAAAAAGGGTAAGTTGAACATTTGATTTTCTATCCTTATAAATCTTTTTGAAGTGTAGTATTTGGGAGTGTCTCTCTTTCATTTCTAGATTTTTTTCTATGCAATGGGTGGAAAGAATTAAATCATTCATCCTAAAAAAGAAGTCAAGTATGCTTAAAGAATGAAGATTTCAACTCTGTTCTAAACATCCAGAGTTCTGTAATAGTTTATCAACTTCATGAATTCAGAATTGAAGTTTATGAAGATATAAAAATCTAAAATGCATGTATGTCGAGTTTAAGTT